TCCCTTGTTTCCCTACCCTGCCCCACCTTCTAATCTTTCCCAGACAGTTACAGAGCACACAGGGTGTGCTCTGCTTCCCAGCATGAAAATATTTTGACTTTTCTGAATTCTAGTGATACCATGGAGCTAATTTTCAATAATCTCCTCCCAAAACTGCATAGTACATAACAGCATCTGAATTGTATGGCAATGAATTCACTGTAATGTCCTCCTGATGCCTGGAAACAGGAATTCTTCATATCTCTTATCAAGCATTTTCTTCAATTTATGGCTGGACCTCTCTCCTAATTTATACTCCCTGCAGCTTCACCTCAGCTGCTAGCCCTCCTTTGTTTTTTCCAAATGTTTCTACCTTTTTGGACTTTTCCTATCTGTTGATGATGCTTACCAGTATCCCCAGCTTACTGCAGAAGGGAAGAGCTTGATTTCAAAGGTGGAGAACCAGATTGGACAAGCAACCTCCAGAGAACACCCCAGGTAAGCAGGGGTATTTACCTTTCCTGAGATCTGGAGAGGATCCAAGAGCATAAAGCTGTGGATTTCCCCTGGTTCAACAGGATGATGGTAGCAGGGGCTCTCTGCCCTTCCCAAGAAGAGGAAGCAGCTGCCTGAGTGGTGCTTCTGAGGTGGTCGAGAAAGGGAAGCTTTGGGCCCTTCAAGAGCACAGAGAAAGCTTTTCCTGACAAACAATCCTGTCTCAATATACCAGGGCTATTCAATCCATTTTCACCAAAATCCACCTTCCTTCACTCTAAATGTCCCAGATGATGTATTCTACATGGATTTATGGTGGATTAAAACACTCTGCACTGCTAGGATATGACACACACTGCAATTCCATTGGACATAACAGTGCAATGAATAGACACAGGACAAATAATTTTTCATCATGAAAATGCTGGCTTGTTTCCACTTGTTTGATAACACAGTTTTGGGGGAGGTTCTCAAAACTTTTAGGTGCTGGAAAGCACATTCCTCCTTTGGCTCTCATCCCACAGGAGGAGATGTGTGACATGAGAGAGTGCTGTGAGCTGTCTGGTCTCAGGTTTCTGTGGCTGAGATGACCCCTGAGGTGTTAGAAAGTCTCTTTTTTCCCAGCTCTGCAACTGAAGAAGAAGGGGAGATTCCTTGGTTCTGCTTTTCAAGGTTGTTTATTTTTTCTTATTTATTACATTCTTTCTCTGACCTGCTGAGATCTGTACAGCAGGTTGGGTTGTGGCACAGCCCCTGCCCTTGGGGTGGTGTTAGCTTTTTATACTAAAAACTACGTGTACTTGATTTACAATAATTTTCCAATACCTATCACTTATGTTAGACAGTTTGTCTCTACTCTAAACCAATCCAGAAGTGTCACCATCTCAGCAGAAGATGAAGAACAAGAAGAAGGAGAAGAAGGAGAAGAAGGACAGGACACACCCAGATTCCTCCATCTTGCCTCTTGAACCCCCATTCTAAAACCACAAAATTCTACTTTTCACCCTATGATAAATTCACTGACATTCTACTCAAACTCTTGTGGCTTGTAACTCTTCACACCAAGTTGGTAATTGTTTCCATGGGCTAAAATCGAAGGCACAGGTGTTTTTGATTCCATGCCAAGGTCTCTGCCCCCTTGCCAGGGTCTCGAGTCACCCAGGGCACCCAGAGGAATGTCCTGGGTCCCTCCAGTCTGGTGGCACTGGAGGCACAGCAGGACAAAGCTCCCTGGGTGATCTGTGCTCTCCAAGCTGGGGGCAGCAAACACATGGGCAGGAGGAGCTGAGGCCCAAAGCAGCAGGCTCACCACAGGAGCACTGTGGCACTGCTGGCCAGCACAAACCAGTGCCTGTCACAGAGAGGCACCGGAGCCTCAGCCAGACTGGTGCCAGCAGTTATTTGTTTCCCATTCTTGCACAGGAGCTGAGGACGACATCCTTTTGTGTTCACATAAACACAGAGAGGAAGGCACAACATGCCTTGGCTGTTATGATGCTCATTTCTCTCTTGAAAATCAAAGTAAATGAGTGTCAAGAGGACACTGACATGCAATAGCTTCAGGCAGCAGCACGGCTCTTTTTTTCCACTAAGATGCCAATAAAAAATTTCCTTTTATCGGCATGGTTTATTAATAGTTCTACGGTACTGCAATAGTACACTGCTTCTTTTTCCTTTTCTCATTCAAAAATACTTGGGTTTGTCATTATCAACCGTCAAGAGACCATCATAGAATTAGAAAATGCTTGTAGAACAAGGACCACCATATATCCTGCCAAAATATTTGGTTTGCTCTTTTGTAGCAACCTTATTTGTTCAACATCTCAAAAGATACTAGACCAAGATGACAAATAAGGTGTTTGAAATCCAGCAATTGAAAAAAACACTGGACATTAAATGTACACTGTGTTTGGTGTGATGCTTTATTGAAGTATGAGAAGAAAAACTGGTAGGTAGTTATCCTTTTTTAGAATATTTTTCCTAATCCTTTATACTTGCTAAATGATTTTCACCAGCACAGTCCATGAGTCATTTGACCTTCATAATTTATTGTTTATCTGAGAATTGCAGGATCCCTCTCTCTGATTAATTTGTGTGCAGTTATCTCACATCAAGCTGCAACATATGTGCACATGAGATTTTGCAAGGAGACACAAAACCCAAAAGCACCCACAGAAGTATCCTAATTCTGATGGGCAGTCCCAAATTAGCTCAGCAACACTTTTCTGCAAGTATTCTTCATGCACACATGGCTCCAGGGGTCTTAACCCCAACTATACTACTGCTATAGTTGTATAGCAAAAGTACCTCACATCTAACTCTTGAGGATGGCAGTGAGAGTTAGGCTCATAAATACCTTCTGAGCATCCTGGAAAATGTTACACTGCCTTAATCCAATTAAGTGAAAACTTAGCATCTTTAAAAGGCTTTCCATTTTAAAAGGACGAGACAGATGCAGTATTTTCCCAGAATACAGAAGGGAAAAGATGGTAATGAGATTTAATTAATGTCCCTGTGCTCCCATGATCATTTACAAGTCAAAGGGATGCAACAGGCCAGGACAGTCCAGGTTTGCCAGCACTGGTTGATGCAAAACTCACACTCAGCTGCTAATGCTGAGGAAAGGTTATTTGGACTTCTGACAAAACCTGAGAGCTGCTCCTGTCAGCCCAGCACCCTGCCTCCCCCTGATGTCACACTAAATGCTGTTCCTGCAAGGAGGATTCTTCTCTTGTCTCTGGTGACCAGTGATAGGACTCGATGGAAAGGCACGAGGCTGTGTCAGGGGAGGTTTGGGCTGGATATTAGAAAAAGGTTCTGTCCCCAGAGGGTGTTGGGGCTCTGGAACAGCTCCCCAGGGCAGTACTCACAGCAGCAGCCTGACAGAGCTCAAGAGGTGTTTGGACAATGCTCTCAGGCACATGGTGTGACTCTTGGGATGCCCTGTGCAGGGCCAGGAGCTGGACTTTGATGATCCCTGTGGGTCCCATCCAGCTCAGGATATTCTATGGCTCCATGATGCACATTTCAGGGGTTCTGCCTGGTCTGGCTGTACCCCTGCTCACATCCTCTCCAGGCTGCTGCTCTGCTCTGCTCTCTCTGTGGGGAGCCATGGAGAAACAAGAGCCAAGAGGGTCTATCAGGTGTCACACATCTCTTTTTGTTTTCCCCACTGCAGGCCATCCTCATCAGTGAAGTGGGGAAGGAGAGCATTTTGTACACCTGGGAGTCTTGGAGCTGGAAGGGGAAAAGACAAGAGAGGTGCCAGGAAGGAAATCTGTCCCTACAGAAATAAGGGAGGGGCAAGGAGACAAGTCCAAGGTTCTCCTCCAGCATGTCATTGTGCAATATCATCCTTCATAAGGAAGTTCCCCAAGGAGGTGAGGCTGGAAGGAGGAGAGAGCAAAGGAGGAAACAGTGACAGGAGGGAGAAGGAGCAGTCTCTGCCACACACAGTTCACTGGACCTGTGCTGAGAAGGGTTAACTCTGTCATGCTGCTGGTGATAAAGAAATGTTTGCTATCTCAGTGTGTCAGATTCAAGGGGTATCACCCATGACTTGCACGCAAGATTACGCGGGGGAGGGAAGCTGAGCACAGGTCACGTTCACGGTTCAGCACAGCTCTGCAAAACAGCAGATTTTATTTCTGCTAGGAGGGGAAGCTCATGCTTTGCTGACACCACTTCCCCAGTGAAGTGATGCTAAGCCACACTGGAAAATTTCCACACAGCTCGCTGACAAAGGAAAGCCAACTGTTTGTTTGGAAAACAACAAAGTTATACAGCAAAACTCAGTGACCCTAGGAAAGAAAAAGCCCTTCCATGAAGACTTGGGATGAACTTACGTGGATGTGAACCTGGGTTTTCCAAGGAATGGGGGCACTGGCTTGGGGTGTTCCGTTATCCACCTCCTGTTTTTAGGAAAGCTGCTGCAATTGAGTGTCTTGGGGATCTCTCTCCCATGGCCAGGGCAACATGTTCAGCAGTTGTGGAAGGGTAGGAATGAGAGATGACAGGACAGAGAGGTTGCATGATCCAAGTTTGTGTCCTTTGGAAACGAACTGATGTATCTACAATATTGGATACCTTGCTGGGATTATACTTTGTGGATCTGGCACATTCCAGCATCATGGCAAAGAAAATTATATTATATGCTCAGTCTAAGTTTGGACTGTTGGAAAACAGATTCAGAATCCCTATTTCCTTTTCCGGACCCTTTTCTTCTCAAGTTTGCTTCTCTCCTACCCCGCCCACTGCTACATCCTGTGTTATCCTCGGCCTTGTCTCTTCATGCTCTGCACGAACGGGCCGTTCGCACTTCCGGCAGTCACAGGCGCACCGGGGGCAGCGGAGCCGGGACGCGCTGGAGCAGCGGGAGCGCGGCCCCGGCCCGGGAGCGCGCCTCCGCCTGACGTCACACCGAGCGTGCGGCGGGGGCGTGCCGCGGGCGCCGCCGGCGCAGCCAATGGCAGCGCAGGGCGTGTCCCAGCGCAGCCAATGGGCGCGCGGGGCGTGTGGCGGCGGCGCGATGGCGGCGGGGCTGTGCTGGCGGGCCGGGCTGCGCGCGGGGAGGCGGAGACTGTGAGTGACGGGCCGCGCGCGCGGGCGGGGCGGGGCGCGGGACCCCCGGCGCCGCCTCCCCTCCCCCTCCCCTCCCCTCACGGCCGGAGCCGCGCCCGCCGGGGCTTCTCCGATCGCTCCGGGTGTGCCGGGGCTGCCCTCGGACCCGGGCAATGTGGGAATGGCAGTCGGCTTCCTGCTCTAGGGGACGGTGTCCCTGCCCGCGGGAGGGGAGTTGGAATGTGGTGGTCCTTTAGGTCCCCTTCCGACCCGAGCTATTCCGTGCTTGCTCCCGCTACCGGCACGTTGCCCTTGCCCGGCTGTCCGCTTTGGTGCAGCTCCTGCCCGGAGGGTGACCTTGGGTCTTTCCCATTCGTGCTCCCGGCCTTGGATTGAGCGGGCTCCTCAGGGCCCCGTGCCCTATTTCCCGCAGGGGGAGCGGGGCCAGGCGGGCTGGGTCCGCACCGGGGCTTTCCCGTTGTTCAAACAGCATCCTGTGCCGCCTGCTCCACCGATGGATGACCCGGCATAGGTGGTGATGCGGGCAGGAGCAGGGGTGCCAGGGCCCCCCCAGCATCCCTTATCCTTGGGATATCCTGGGAGCCCCCCGTGAGCCCGGGCGTGCGGAGTCCCCGTGCTCCTGTGGGGGGACACGGCTCCTGCAGTGCCTGGATGAGGGAAGGTCGTGTAGGCAACGCATGTCCACTTGTCAAGGGCCCGAAATCAGCCGGTGCTTTCCCACAGGTGGGTGAATAGCTGTCAGGAATAGCACGGATTTCGGCAGGATGCTAGGAAAAGCTCTGCTTTAAACAGAGGATCGCCATACAGGTCAGCGTTGCAGGATCAGGCTCCAAGTGACAAGTGCCAAGGAAGATAAAGGCTCCGCTGCACTTTCCTGCTGGAGAAGTGTGTGGGTTTCATGTCCAGCTTTCTGCCTGCAGGTGTGTGCCTGCCTGTTCCCGGGGGCAGGGAGTGACTTCTGCCAGAGGGAGGGATTGTTGGGTATGTGCTCATTTAAGGCAGGTTTTCAACAGCACTGCTAGAAGGAGAACACTTTATTCTTTAGTATTGATATTAGGAAGGCAATCAAGTGTTAATTCATTTTAATATCAATATTTAAAGCTTTAAATTCTCGCATTCTCTGCTGAGACCGTGGTTCTGTAAATATTTTATAGCTGAGTGACAAAAGCCTATGCGCTCTGTAAAACTGTAACGTAGATGTTACTGTGAGCATGCAATATTGATGCTGGTGTTCTTGGGGAGCCTCAGGGACAGCTGGAGTGCTTTGTGCTGTACTGGAGGCACTCTGAAGAGCCCAGTAAGTCCATGTCAGTCATTCCTGCCCACAGGAGGGTCCTGCCTAGCACCCAGGGTCATTTTTCCAGTCTACCTCCTTCAGTGCACTTTTACAGCCAGTTTCTGGGGAAGATGCATGCACATACATGCTTTTTCCCCCCCCTTGTTTTCATCCCCTTTTCCCCATATTGGTGCAGAATCATAAATGCTATGCCTTGCTATTTCTGGTCATGAAGAATTTTGAATATTCATTCTCTGGGGGGAAGAGGAATCTGCACAGTGTGAGGGCAGGGGTGATGACCTTTATGTGTGCACAGCACCTGTTCAGGGCTGGGAGAAGAGGCTGCCTGCATGCCCATGGTGAGGCTGCTCCCTTCCAGCTGTGGCTCAGAAGGGGCTTCCTTGGCCGGTGCTGCCCTGGGCTGGGACATGGCTGCCAGGCATCACAACACCCTTGCATGACTCCCAGAAGATGTGATGACCTCCCTGTGGTGGCATTTGACTGTTCCTTGTCATCAGAGCTCCCGTGGAGCCCAAGAGGCCACTGGGCAGGTAGAGACCACAGAATTTTGGGCATCCAAGCAGTCAGAGACCAAGCAGGATGAGGCATGAGGAGTCCTTGCTCACTGTGTGCACTTGGGAGAGAAAATACAGGGATGACTTCAAATGTCAGCAATCAATGAACACGTTGATTGGATTTAATTGGCTCTTGTGTCCCACAGAGCTCTCTGCCATGCTGTTGCACTGGGACCCTAATTACAGCAGGTACCTCCGATGTGGTGTGGCTGTCTTTCCACTGCTGCCCTCCTCCTTCCTGTGCGTGCTGCTGCCCCTGTGAGGCTGGGGGCAAGCAGTGCTGCCCAGAAAAGGAGGACCGAGTGTTTGTGTTATTATCAGCCAGGTACCCAGAGCTGGTTTTTCTTATTTGCCATGTTCCAGAGCCTACTGGGCTCTCTCTGCCTATGAAAGATTTTTGTGTTGGAAAAAGTTAAAAAACCCTTCATCCAGCTGTTTTTAGTAGCAAGTGCAGCTGGTTTTGCTGTTGTTCTCGCTTTGCTTGGTGATGATGCTGTTAGAGAGGAGCATTGCACATTGAAGCACAGTCACCTGTTTGCCCTCAGCGAGCCAAGCATGTCACCCAGTACCAGAGGGTTTTATTACATGCACTCATTTACTGGCATACCCCAGGCAGATCCATACCCACATGCCTGTGCTAAATCAGTCAAAGGCAGCACCCACATCTCAGTGGAACACTGCAGAGCATGGAATGTACAGTGTGGGCACATAGAGCCTGTTGTGCCAAAGGGGCACACGCTGGCATGCCTGCTAGGAACAAAGGAGCCCGACGAGTACTAACCCCGTGTCAGATCTTCTTCAGAGACTGTTCCTATGTCATTTAAAATTTCTAGCATTGGGAGTTTCTTTTCTCATCATCAATTCTCATCAATTTCCCTCCCAGGAGTCCACCACTCCTGTGTCTTGTGGTTCAGGCTCCAAGTCTGTGTCTGCTTGGTATATTAGTGAAAATGTTTTTCATGTATTGGACACTGGAGGGTGCTAATGCAATGGGAGCTGAAATTGTTGTAGCAAATTAAAGGGTTCCCTTTTGTTAGTTGTGAAATAGTTTTATTCTTTGTTGCAGGTTTTAAGTGGAAAGACATGAATTGTGGTCCTTACCAGTAGCTGATCCTGTTCAGCGTGTGCAGAGCTGTGACTAAGAATATCAATAAAGTGTTATGTCTGTGAGGGATTTCTTTCCTTAACCTCAATCAAAAAAAATCACTCATTTTATGTTCTACACATTTTTAAGTGTGTCTTTTGAGATTATGGCCTCGGGGTGAAAATTATTTGAAAGTGTGACTTTCTAGTGATAAAAACACTTTATCTGGCAGAATTGCTGAGCCGCATGTGCAGAGTCTGCTTTTCTACAAGGTCACTTTGGTTCACTGAAATGAATATTGTTGTGTTGCTAGTGGGGTGAGAACCTGATAGCAGCTCACACTGGGGAGGGCACCCATTGGGGACACCCTGAGCACCCCTAATCAAGTCCCTGGCACTGGGATCCTGTCTCTGGGGGTGGACCTGATGGAGCCTCAGTCATCCTTGCATTCTGGGCTGTGTGTGAGGGCATTCCATCACAGGGAATGTGTGTAGGATGGGGTGTTCCATCAGCCATCAGGTGAAGCACATCACAAAACTGAGCCTTAGCTCTGGTGTTTCAAATTCACTCAAACATTTTTGTCAGGATAAAGTTCCATTGAGAGGTCTTAGAGCAAAGGAGGTATTACCTGTTCTCTCTGCTCCAGCTTTCTGCTCAACCAGGTCTCTGCTCTCCTTTGCCCTTGGCAGGAAGACAGGGGCAATATAAGGTCCCTGTTGTGCACTCTGGCAACTCCACAGTTGGCATGAAGGACTGTGAAACTACTGCCCGAGCCAGTTTTCATCCTGGCAGCAGCAGAGGTATGATGGTGGATAATTAATGCTAAAGAGAAGCAGGGTGCAAAGCTGGGTGTGTCCAGCTAATCACCACTGGCACCTCAACTGGTCTGCTAAAGCCTGCTCTGTTCTGGACAGTCCTGTGTGCTCCTGTACCTGCCCTTGCAAACTCATCACCCAAATGAAAGCCAGTATTTGTAATTTGTGAGCAAAAATAACTGGGTACAAATACATCTTCCTTAGCAGCCTTTCTTGTTTGATATGCATGGAAAATGAGTTACTCCTCTGTCTCATTCCTTTTGCAAATGAATTGGGCTGTCCTGTCCTGGAAAATATTGTTATCTTGCTGTATTATATCAGTCAGGTTTTATTCTCTCCCAGGTGATGAAGTTTGCTTACATATGGTTCAATTTTTATTTCTTTTTAAAACACGCAGTTTTTTTCTGAATTCCTCCTTGAACTGAAGATGTGTATGAACACTGGAGAAAGAGCCTGTGGATGAGGAAACCAGAATCTCCTGTTCTGATACCAGTAGGGGCTTGCTGTTCATCTTGCAACCAGAAGCATGGACAATTTCACAGCAGAATTGCTTGGGTGTTTATCAGAAGCAGCAGAAATGTACCCAGTTAAAAGTTTACACTTTTTTTGCAAAGAGTTTTAGTAGCTTACCAGAATAGGGTTATAAGGGGATGTGAGCAGAAAAGCTTTTTAAAATCACTGTAATAAGTAGTGGTACTGAAGACACTCTGTTTAAGGGTAGTCTAAGCACACAGATGAAGTCTAAGCAGACAGAAAGAGATCTGGTTGACAGTATTGGTCTGGTTTAGCAGCTTTCAGAGAAGACTGCTTCTTCCATTGCAGCTCCATGCTTCCAAGCAGAGAGCCAGGGTATGCATCCTGGTGTTGTTTCCAGAACCAATGGTCTAGCTGTGGTGCCAAAAGGATTTGAATTTGTGCATTTTATGTAGATGGTGTCCTAACTTGGAGTGAGAGACCTTTCTTCAGGAGAGAAGGTTAATGGGCCTTCCACTAAACCTGTGTGTGTGACTGCATTGAGTTTAAACACTGCCAGCTGCAGGATGGCATCTTGAGGTCCAGTGCCAGCCCTGCATGGGAAAGGAGGGCGTGTGTTCCCTTGGTGGGTGCTCAGTGCCTTCCATCATTGAGCTTTCACACACTTGGGCAGTATTTCTTGGCTACTCATAAAGGCTGGGTGAGTGGGATCCCTGGAGTTTTCATACCTGTTGGGGAGATTGGGCTGCTGTACTTGAGGTCTCTTTCCTTAAGAA